CAACAACCCTATAATAATGGATATTTTAAACAACAAAGGTACTCTTACCCAAATCAAAATTCCAATAATCCAGGAGCTAACTTCCGAAATTATAGACCAAATAATAATTATAATAATATCAATAATTATCAAAATTCAGATTCAAACTCTAGAATGAGTAGATTTTCACATTCAAGTAGACCTGAACCAATGGATGTCGATTCGGGACACACTAACTTCAAAATCCAAAATTCTCTCAGCCGAAAACAAAGAAATACAGGGTAACAATGAAGATATGATAGACGACTCACAAAAATTTTTACATTATCCTCCCAAAATCCCCCGGATACGTAGAAATAAACGAACATGGAAACGCATTACCATATATTAATATACATATCATCTCCGTATGGGAAATCACTAAAATTTTTAATTGATACTGGTGCGTCAGCATCTTTTATAAATCCGGAATATACGGAACAGAAATCATTAATCGATTGCCAACCAATCACTATTACTACAGTTCTAAACAAATATAAAATAACCAAAAAACTATTATTCCCATATTCTAGGAATTTAAAAAATCTGGGAACTTAACGTTTCTAGTATTTAGGTTCCATAATTATTTTGACATACTACTTGCTTTAATACAACTAAAAGCTTACCTAGATTTACACATCTTAACCTTAACAACACCGGAGAATATCTTAGTTCTAAAAATAAAACCTAATTTTACTTCAGACAAACAAATAATTCATCCTAGTTCAAAAGTCATTATTAAACTCCCCGTAGATATCCAAGACGGTGACATATACATAAACTGTACAATGTTAACACCACTCTACTTGTTTCCGAAGGCCTTTATACTTCCAAAAACTGGTTTGGCGAAGTAGAAATCCAAAATAATTCAAACACAGAACAGATATTATTCCTAGACCAACCCACTAAAGTAGCACAATATAAATCGGACGACTTTGTTGAAATAAATAATTGGAATTTGGAGAGTCCTCGAATAAACCAATTAAATTCAGAAGAAGAAAAAATATGAAATTATGCAAACAATATAACGATATTTTTTCAAAGAAGGCCAAACACTATCTTTTACAAATGAAATAAAAAATAGTATCACAACTACAGACAACATACCTATATATACGAAATCCTATAGATATCCGTACGTCCATAAAGAGGAGGTACAAAGTCAAACACAAAAAAATTTGGAAAAATTGCTTCGTCTATCCCGACTATATAATCATTTATTCAACATCTCTCCAAAAACACCTTAATAACTTAAAAGAAATATTCCAAAGATAAGATATGAAATACCAGAAACACCCAAAAAAACACTTGACATAATACACATTGATCTTTATTCTATAAACAATTACCATGTTAAATAAGTTTTCCAAATTTGCCGTCGCATACTCGATTCCAAATAGAACAAGTTTAACAGTAACAAAATCATTACAAACATTCCTCAGACAAAACGGAATTTCTAAAAAAATAATTTATGACCAAGGATCAGAGGTTTCTAGCAGCATCTTTAAGGATTTTTGTAGACAATACAATATAGTATTGCACTCGACTTCTTTTCAACAAACAAGTAGCAATGGCCCAGTTGAAAGACTGCATTCTACTATAACAGAAATATATCGTATAATTAAGTCTAAACGAAGAGAACTTAGACTAGAACAAGATCACGAAGAAACATTATCGGAAGCGTTGATTACATAAAACAACACTTTTCACTCTGCAACTAATCTTACACCTTACGAGCTTTTTCATGGACGAACTTATAAATTTGACAGGGATGCTCAATTCAATAACAAACATGACTACTTACGTAAACTTAACGAGTTTCAGGAAACACTTTACCCTTATATTAAAGAAAAACTAACAATCCTTACTCCTTCAAAAGAACGAAGGACTTATTAATGGACTAGGTACTGTCATAAAATTTATAACCGGAAACATGGAGGCTCAGGACGCACAAGAACTAAATAAACAAATACGGAAATTAGAAACAAATAAAAAAAACATCAAAACCATCATTGAAAACCAGCATAACCTAAATACGCAAATGATTGAACGGTTTCAAAATTTGACATTCAATATTAATACAGAACAAAGAAAAATCGAATCATATTTAGCAAATTTATCACAAGAGACTTCGAACAAAATTCGTAAAGAAGAAATCATCCTACACAAAATGCAATATTTAGAAGAAATAAATTACAATATCGATTTGCTTAGCGACCATTTAACTAACCTAGCCGAAGCTATAGTTTTAGCCAAATTAAATGTCATTTCTAAATTGATTCTTGACAAAAATGAAATAAAATTCATTTACGTAAATACATCGTAAATGCAGTCTATTGAGATTATCTCAGACGAACATGTCTATGAACTACTTGGGCTTCAAGCTTATTACAATCATAGCAGCATAATATTCAACGTTAGAATACCTGTCCTTTCGGAAATGACATACCAATTCAGTCATATTATTCCTTTAGCAATTAACTTTACCAAAATAATCGTAACACAACCATACATAGCCCACAACGAAAAGAGTGTTCAATACTTTACAAAAACCTGTCCCAGGATTGAAAGCACCTTTTATTGTCGCTCTCCGCTGTATAAAGAAGACGTAAACAACTCATCTTGTGTTGGAAACGATGTGGATACATTATATACTTTTTATTAATATTAAACATGCACTAATAAAATCTACTTGTAGTAAAAACCCCCATGAAGTAAAAGGAATCGCACTCCTGCGATACAAGTCCTGCGAAGTCGTCATCAATGGAACTCCTTACTCGGACAACTATAGTATGTTCCGGGAACACACCCACATAGCACCTCCAACATACTCCCAAATTGAAGAAGAGGGGACAATAGAAACCTTAAACTTGAAGAAGCTGGAAGAATTTTATGTCGAAAATAAGGAAGCTCTCCTAACTCTGGAAAACGAAACGGAAGACACTATGAAATTTACCCACTTGGCCCTATTAATCCAGGCAGTCATGATAATAATTCTATTCTTCTCAAGGAGAACAACACAAGCAACACCGAATGTCATCGTTCCGGCCATACCAACCTCCAGTCCTTTATGGCCATCACTCTACTCTAAGGGGGGAAAAGTTACATTGGCCACCAACCCCACACGCTTTTCACTCAGACATGCTGACACTACACTTCACACTCATACACAGCAATTATGCGCCCAAACGAAAAAAATCTAAGAGAACAAATGAGAAACCGCCATATCAAATGACTTACTAAAAGAGAACGCAGAGAACGAACTTTTTTATACATGTAAACAAGGGCACCAGTTCCCATGGTTGAACAGGGCTAGTCTGGATACACTCTTTTTGTTGTTGGTAGAGCAAATTTTAGCCAAGCGAGAGCAACCATTCTATGTTAGTTGGTATGTCCGTCTCGGTTTTGTATACAAACCACTCTTTGTTGTGTTGTATGTTAAGCTCTGATCGTTGTTCGCGCTTAAGTTTGTTCAATTTATTGATGTGTGTCTCTTTTTGTTTATTACTCTCTGTTCGGAGAATAACATTGTCAATCTCCATGAGTAAGTTTAGATCTTCACTATCTAAGAGATTGCTTAGTCGATTATTTATACTGATCAGCATCTATTTTTTCTTTTTTGTTTGTGTTTTTCTTGTATTAGTTGCTTTAAGATTTTTACGTGGAAATTGTATATGAGTGTGTCTAGTGACGTCCGCTTTTTAATTTGTTGAGGGTATTTTTGGTGGTGTTAGAAATAAAGTTTGCTATTGTACCTGTTTGCTTATATTTTATGAGAAGTGTTGTCGTGACGTTAATTAATTAAGGGCTCAAGTATCCATGTATCATCTGGGGTACCCTCAACAACAACCTTGGACATCTCTATACTATTTGTGTCACTTGTATGTTTTTTTATTTTTAATTGTACATGGGCAAGTGTGGACGACAAAAACAATCGCAACAACAGCTGAGTATGGCAAAACTTAATAATTCACACCCGCCGGTCGATGTAACAAAATGGCGCCCAAGGTAGAATCAAATTTTGAATTTTATTGTCATCGGATTAATTTTTGAGACCAGAGGTATAATTTTTCTGGAATTTGAGTTTAGACGTTACTAACACAGAGTCATTAGTGGCTGATATGTATGTCGAGCTACTAATGCCCGTTATTAGATATGTGTTCGTGGTATTTTAATACAAACAGAATTAGTTATGCAAACATTTTATCATTATATAAGTTAAGAACATAAATGTTTAATTATTGTTCTCACAACATATTCACTTGCAACACGAGCAAATCAACCCAATACCATAACAGCAGATCCAGTTACAACACGAGCAAACCAACATAACATGCGCAACTCGAAATAATAACACTTTTCTACAATCATCAAATATCAGTGGCGTGATCGTGGGAATTAGAAACTCAGCATAAAAAATAATAATTCCGTAGGTGACATTTAGAGATAAGTTAGTTAAGTTAATTAGTTACAAATTTGATTTCATGATAAACAAGCGGTGTAACAACCGCTCCGGCCTTTTTAAAAAATAAAATTTATTAAATAATTGTTTAATTGGCGCCCAACCTGGGACTCCCTCTTAAATTGTAAAGGATAAGACCCCACAATAAAAAGATCGGGATTTGTATACTAAAATAAAAAAATCCAAGGAAACGTCGCGCACAAGTAGCATTATAGCAGCAGCTTTGGTACGCGAATTCGAATTTAGTTTTAGAAATAAATTAAAAAAGATATAAATAAGTGGAAATAATAAGTGGAAAAAATAAATTGAAATAAATATTGAAAAAAAGGAAATGAAATAATTTGAGTTCATAATTAATAAGAAAATAAAAAATAGAAATTAAAGTGAAATTAAATGAAAAGCAATGAAAAAAATAAACTGGAAATGAATAAATTGAAATAAATTTTAAAAGAAAAAGAAAAAATAATATTGACAATAAATAAAGAAAATAAAAGGAACCAAGTTAAAATTTAAGTTAAATTTCGATGAATAGTTATGAAACAAAAAAATACATGAAATATACATTTAGAATAAATGGACAAATAAAATATTATTGAACTGTGACGATCAATTAAAGGTAATGAAATAAAATTCAGTGTAAATTAAAAATATTAATTAAAGATCGTTTAAGGAAAAAATTGTATGTGAACATTAATTAAATACAAAAAGTGTAAAAGAAAAAATCATGAATAATGAAACTATTATCAAAATAAAAACTGAGGAACTATAGACATTTACAAACAAGTCTACAAAACTTAACATAATATAAAGCTGCATACGGCGAATAATCATCAACAGAACGAGCCAGCATACACCGAAGCAAAACGAAATGAATATGTTAACGTTATTAAAGTAAGCTTATACAGTATTTTTAGGTTAATTGCACATCAAAATTTGCACAAATTTTCTTTCAATTAACCGAGGAACCAATTATCCGAACACGCTTAATTGAATAGTTTGTTCAAATTCAGTAATCACGTATAATTGGAACTACTAATGATTTAAACAAAATCCAATACAAATTACTCTTTCTCGAAGTTTTTCCTTAGCAATAAACATATTTTTTGAATTAATAGAGATGCCACCTAGTCTTTTTCACAAATTATGTTAAATATGTATGTAAACAAATGGCAGATAATTTTTTAATTATTATTATGCAATTAAACGGGAAAAGTAAAGGAAAATTTATTTTTGATGACATGAATTTTGAACCAAATAAGCGGGAAAATCAAATAACAGGGTTTAATTATCCGAGAAAATTTACATGTATTTTCCTATGAAATATTTTTTGCTCCATCATTTGGTTCAATTAAGCATGGAAACCAATTAACCGTAGGGTCAATTAACCGAAAAATACTGTAGTATAATATTGCTGTTAAATTTTAGTACTTATTAAAATTAAATTTATTTCAACAACTAATCCCCTCATTCCTACTAACATCCATATTAAATCTACCAAAATGACGGAAGTAGACAACATAGCCGAAAGATTAAGAAAAGGGTTAGACTTAGGAACGTCTTCAACTTGTTTAAGATTAACTCAAACACAAAAAGATGATGTGATTAAAATTATGAAAAGTTTCTTTCCACTAGACAGCACAGAGGAAATTGGCGATCAACATATAACACAAGTCAATATTAAGGAATTGGACTCGATTCCAGATATAGTTAAAAGCTTGAGAGAATTCAGTGGTAGAACAGGAGAGTTTAATTCATAACGTAAGTCAGTCGACAGAATATTAGAACTTTTTAATTCTATAAAAGGTATTAGTAGGTATTTTGCCATCATACATACCATTAAATCGAAAGTTATTGGTGACGCTGATACCGCACTGGAATCTTACAGAACTCCTTTAAACTGGGAAAAAATCAAAAAGTGTCTCATGATGCATTATTCCGATAGGCGAGACATAGGTACACTAGAATTCCAAATGAGTTTCTTGAGACAAAACAGTATGACGGTTACTGAGTTTTATCGTGCTGTGTACCAGCACCTTTCTTTAATACTAGACAAAATAGCATGCCTAGATAATGACGACAAAAGTCTTGCAAATATGACGAAGGCATACAGAGATAAAGCTTTAAACACATTTGTTAGAGGGCTTAGGGGTGAATTACCAAAATTATTAACAATTTCCGCTTCCAATTCACTGCCTCAAGCATTGAATGTCTGCCTCAAATTGGATAATATGAACATATGAACCAACCATGTCTTTGGTCAGAGGAGAATGGCTACTAATTTCGGAAACTATGCAACACCTAAACAAGGATTCTATCCAGAACTTGTTAATTTTGAGGGACAGAACAAATTCCAAGCGAGACCTCCACTTCCGCCTCGGACTCAAAAACCATCATGGTTTAAGCACCACAAGCCTCCAATAATAATCATGCTTTTAGACAACATTTTAATAATAATCGTTCTCAATTAAATCCGGTTCAACATTACCAATATGATACAACATATAATAAGCCTCAACCCATGGGAGTAGATCAATCCATGCAAACGAGACACGTTAGCTATGCAAATAGACCCCAAATTAAAAATTTTCCATTCAAAAGGCCAGCAACCGCAAGCTTTCAAACACCAGTCAATAAAGTTCAACTCAACTTTCACTTAAAGACAACGGATACACCAAATTCAGTAAATACAGAGGTTAAGATTAATCTGGTAACTCTCGTAGTGAATAGACGTGATTTTCTTACTGCTTTCAATCAGTGAAATTAATTATTAAATTTACTACAGTTCTAGTGTTTATTTTAAAAATATTTTACTCTGTTGTGAAATCGTGAAAAAATGCAAGTGTGAATTGTGAAATCTCTGATTAAACAGTAAAATAAAGATAGGTAAAAATTTGTAAAACTTTTGTTTATTTACTTGAGTTTCTTTCTATTTTTTCTATTTTTGACGTTTTGTGTTGTTATTTCTTTTTCCGTTTTCTTATAGTGTTTCTACGTACACTTATCTAAATCAAATTCCTAGCATACTTTTAGGCAGTACCAATTAACTGTAACGTATTACTTTGAAAATTAATAATGGCATGTTTATACGATGTTTATGTTGTACTATCACAAACACAAATGAGCGTCTTATAACTTGCTGGTTATGTGATAAGCATGCCCATTTCAAGTGTGCTGGTTTTAATGGTAGACATTTTGACAAAGTTACTGATCGTAACAATGGTTTGCGCTGGGCATGCGTTGAGTGTAGAACCTTAGAAATTTAAGGAAGCTAAACTTGAAATGGTTGCCTTGAAGAGGGGTGTCGATTCGGTTTACTCACGCCTAGAAAATTTTGAAAAAATGTTTAATAAATTTGAGTTTGCAGATGGTTCACCGAAAAGGAAAAAATCGTTAGTAGTTGCTCAAGGTGATAACTTAATTACACTAAACTCACCAGTTGTGGCTCCGCCACGCATCAATACTAATAAAAATATTTCAGCATGTAATCATCTGGCGCTTCCAGCGCTTCATTCAAATTTATCGCCTTACAAAACCGCACCCAAAAAGTATCATTTAATGAAAACCGTTCCAAAAGTATTAAAGTTTCCTCTGGTGTACCACAAGGCAGTCATTTAGGACCTTTATTGTTTGTTCTGTATCTAAACGACCTTCCATCAGCTATAGAGCGACCAAAGTACTGATGTTTGCTGACGATGTCAAACTTTTTGTAAATTTAAATTCTATAAATCAATGTAAATATTTGCAAAACGATCTGTACTCCCTTGCAAATTGGTGTAGCATTACTGGTATGACACTGAATCTTAAGAAATTCAAAAAATTATCATTTTTCAGAACCAAACATATTCCCTGTGATTATTCTATAGGGACTTATAAAGCAGAAAATGTTGACTCGTTTGTCGATTTGGTTGTTATCCTAGATAATTGACTACATTTTCATTTACATATTGATTCTTGTGTTAATAAAGCTAAATCATTGCTGGGCTTTTTAAAACGGTGGTCAAAAGGGTTTGATGATCCTAACGTGACCAAACGGTTCTTTGTCACTCTAGTTAGACCTACTTTGGAATATGGTTGTGTACTTTGGAGCCCGTTCTATAAATGTTATTCCGATAAAATAGAATCTGTTCAATACAATTTCTCCTATTAGCTCTTAGGCGTTTACCATGGAATGTTAACTTAGCACTCCCCCCCTATGAAAATAGATTAAAACTCATAGATTTTCCAACACTCGAGAGAAGACGTTTAATGCTTAGAGCTATATTCATTACAAAGCTGTTAAGGGCCAAATAGACTCAAGTTATTTGGTTGGTGAAATAAAAATAAATGTACCATCGCGTAATACACGGAACTATATTCCACTTAATTTTACGTTAAAAAATCTAATTATGAATTAAGCAATCCATTTCGTTCGATTTGTGATGTCTATAATAAACTGTATAATCATATTCCTTTCGATGAAACTATAGAAATAATAAAAAATATATTTTACATATGTAGTTTGTTACTATTTGTGTATTTTTCGTTATTGTACAAAATGCTTGTTTATAACTGTTGTTTGTCTTTAGAAAGTGTATTTTAGTATTACCGGCTGAATTTATTGTAACCGGTAGTTCCCTACCCTTACAACTCTCCATAGTCCGGACTATGGAGTTTACGTGCTCCTTACGTCAAGAGGAGGTGGCCCCCTCGGTCGGCAGGGGCGGGTAAGAGTGGGGTGGGAACGATCGAAGAAAAAAAAAGGATTTGCCAGAATGTAGTTCATCCACAGCAACATCGGACGCTGCTGACTATAATGAAGATTAAGAAAAAATTGTCAACCAAAACGATGTAGAAGATTATCATAATCCATGCGATTATAGGAATAGGATAGAGGAACATGATAAATCGGAGAGTTATTCCTTACAAGAACTCAATGACGATATGAATTTTTTTGGTTAAATAGTTCCTAGTTGCCATATTTCAATATAAAAACGAGGGACGGAAAAGAACTCAAAATTTGAATAGACACTGGTAGTAATAAGAACTATATTAAATCAGAGCACGTACAAGATCCAAACCGAATCTGGAAATTTTTTCTTCCAATGCAATATCGGGCAATGTTTTAGTCATTCACCATATCCTAGTTGAAGTATTCGGTAAAGAAATTGGAGCAATACAATTTTACATATTGCCAGGCTTACGTACATTTGCCGCTATTTTGGGAAATGACACACTTGTGGAATTATCTGCTGTGATTTACTCATCTAAAAATTACTTTACAATTCACAATCAAGTAAAAATACCCATATACCAATATTTGATTCAAAATGTTAATAACATAGAAATGAGAATGGGACAAATGACTCCAAATCAAAAGGTACAACTTTCACGGATGGTTGATACTTTTAGGAACCATTTTGCTGACCCAGACGAGCGTTTGACTTATACCACTCGAACCGACATACTCCAGAAATTAGCCATATCCAACAGCACTGAAAGGTATAGTAGGATGGAATAATAACACCTTCTCGTTCACCCTATAATTCGCCTATTTGGGTAGTTCCAAAAAAGGAAGATGCATCAGGGCAAAAAAAAAAAATATCGTGTGGTGGTAGACTTTAGGAAGTTTAACTCAATATCAAGTTTTGTCAAAGCTTGGGGGACATAAGTTCTTTTCAGTTATTGACCCTTAAGAGAGGAAGATATCGAGAAAACCGCGTTCTGTCAATAACGGCAAATATGA